TGTAAATACTTGAAGATGATGAGGTTGAGAGAGTAAAAATGCCATTTTCGAAAAAAAATTCAAAAAACATATAAATGGCATTTTCGTAAATAAAATGAAGATGTGGGGTGAATAGGACAAAAACAAGATGAGACAAAAGAAGAGGTTAGTTTTGTGTTTGACTTGGAGTTTTGAGTCAAATTTGCAAAAAGCCCTATATCTTTTGGGTTTATTTATTTTAGACTTTTTTGTTTATAGTTGAAGAGTTGAGTTTTTAGAGATAAAATAGAGAAAAAAATTAAAATTTTTAAAATAAAAAGTATTATTTTGGTATTTTAGTTTTTGAGTTCGATTTTTTTTAGAGAATTGCGTAGATAATTTTTACGCAAAAACCCTTTTATTTGTATTACTTTCACATTATTCCCACTCGATTTAGGGTTTTCTAAAATCAAAGATCGTCTTCCCCTTTCAATCCTTTCTTTCTTCATTGATTTCGAATTTGCATCACTTGTCTTCAACCTCACTGATTTCAATTTAGGGTTCTCGACTTCTTCTTCTTCTACTCTGTGATGGATAACGAAGAAGTGATCGACTTCGATGTAGACTCCGACGACATCGACATCGAACCAAACGACGCAATCGACATGCTCGACAGCCCTCTCCCCGACTCCACCACCACCACCACCGCCAACTACTTCCCCGACGGCGACCTCGAGCCTTACGACGGCCTCGAATTCGAATCCGAAGAATCCGCCAAAGCCTTCTACAACTCCTACGCCCGCCGCGTCGGCTTCAGCACCCGCGTCAGCTCCTCCCGCCGCTCCCGCCGCGACGGCGCCATCATCCAACGCCAATTCGTCTGCGCCAAAGAAGGATTCAGGAACATGAACGAGAAACGAACCAAAGACAGAGAGATCAAACGTCCCAGAACCGTTACAAGAGTCGGTTGCAAAGCATCTTTATCCGTTAAGATGCATGACTCCTCTAGTAAATGGATCGTCTCCGCTTTTGTGAAGGAACATAACCACGAATTGGTACCTCCTGATCAGGTACACTGCTTGAGATCTCACAGGCAGATCTCTGGACCTGCTAAGACGTTGATAGATACATTGCAAGCTGCCGGGATGGGGCCGAGGAGGATAATGTCTGCTCTTATTAAAGAGTACGGCGGGATTAGTAGAGTAGGGTTTACTGAAGTTGATTGCAGGAATTACATGAGGAATAATAGACAGAAGAGTATACAAGGAGAGATTCAGCTTCTTCTTGATTACTTGAGGCAGTTGAGCGTGGAGAATCCGAGCTTCTTTTACGCTGTTCAAGATAGTGACGATCATCATCATCATAATCAGTCTGTTGGGAATGTGTTTTGGGCTGATCCTAAAGCGATTCTTGATTTCGGATATTTTGGGGATACGGTTACTTTTGATACGACTTATAGGTCTAATAGGTATCGGTTACCGTTTGCTCCTTTCACTGGTGTGAATCACCATGGACAGCCTGTTTTGTTTGGATGTGCGTTTATTATTAATGAGACTGAGGCTTCGTTTGTGTGGCTTTTCAAGACGTGGCTTGCGGCGATGTCTGGACACTCTCCAGTGTCGATTACTACTGATCATGATGCGGTTATACGTGCTGCTGTTATGCAGGTTTTTCCGGAGGCTCGTCATAGGTTCTGCAAGTGGCATATTTTTAAGAAATGTCAGGAGAAGTTGTCTCATGTGTTCCTTAGGCATCCTTCTTTTGAGTCTGATTTTCATAAGAGTGTGAATCTGACTGACTCTGTTGAGGATTTTGAGTCTTGCTGGTTTTCGCTTCTTGATAAATATGAGCTGAGAGATCATGAGTGGCTACAAGCGTTATACTCTGATCGACGGCAGTGGGTTCCAGTATATCTCCGTGATACGTTTTTCGCTGAGATGTCTTCAACACAGCGTAGTGACAGTATAAATTCTTATTTTGATGGCTATATCAACGCTTCAACTAATCTGAGCCAGTTTTTTAAGCTCTACGAGAAAGCTTTGGAGAGTCGTCTCGAGAAAGAAGTTAAAGCGGATTACGATACAATGAACTCGCCTCCTGTTCTGAAGACTCCATCTCCAATGGAGAAGCAGGCGTCTGAGCTTTACACGAGGAAGTTATTTACGAGATTTCAGGAGGAGCTAGTAGGAACTTTGACTTTCATGGCGTCCAAAGCTGATGATGATGGTGATCTTGGTACCTACCAGGTTGCAAAATATGGAGAGACTCACAAGGCGTATTGCGTTAAGTTCAACATTTTGGAGATGAGAGCAAATTGCAGTTGCCAGATGTTTGAGTTCTCTGGGATCGTGTGTAGACATATATTGGCAGTCTTCAGGGTCACCAATCTCCTTACACTTCCACCTTACTATATCTTAAAAAGATGGACTAGGAATGCCAAAAGCAGTGTTATTTTCGATGACTATGGTTTGCATGCGTATGATAATTACTTGGAGTCTCATACTGTTCGATACAACACCTTACGCCACAAGGCTTTTAATTTTGTGCAAGAAGCGGGGAAATCTCAGTATACTTGTGATGTCGCTCTAGTTGCTCTGCAAGAAGCTGCCAAGACTGTGTCCTTAGAAATGAAAAATGAAGTTAGGAGAACTATGGCTAACGGGCATGTAAAAGGGAGTTCTGTAAGTAATGGAGAACAGATATGCCGCAATGAGAACTGTCAGCAAGAAGAGCCCCAGGTGAATAAAGATCAGATGCTTATTATTTTGATAAAATAATAATCAAGATTGTTTCTCTGAACATGTCTACATATAAAGTATCTTTTACAGCCAGTGTTTTGTCTCGTGGATGCATGACCATATTGGCTCCATTTTTTGCAGGATGAAATGGACAAGAAGATTATTCAGCTCAGAAATGAGTTGGAAATAGCAAACAGGAAATGTGAAGCCTACAGGACTAACCTACTTTCAGTCTTGAAAGAAATGGAAGATCAGAAGTTACAAGTTTCCATCAAAGTGCAGAACATCAAAATCAGCTTAAAGGATAATCTATGAAACAAGCAACAAGTTCCAACTGCCTCATCATATATGATTATTGCTCATGTATAATATATCTTAGGGTTTTTGAAAATAGGACCCAGTTTTCAGTATTTCCCTGTTAGAGTAGGTAGTCTTTGCAATAGATTGTACTCCCAATCATTTTCTTAATGAGTAAAAGAGCATGAAGTTGATTCCCGTTGAGTTGTGATGTTATGTATCCAGCAGGTTGCACTCATTCTTTCAAGCTTAGTCTTGCATTTTGTACCTTGAGGTAATGTCATTGATTCCTTTAGTTTCTGAGTTGAAGTTTGCTTAGTCTCAGTTGTGGCACTTACACATGATGCTCTTAGTTCAAGTTTAAGCTTGTGTCATATCACTCTTGAATTGCTTGCCGGTTTTGTCTCAGATTTTCAGTGTAGGCACGTCTGGCTTCGAGGTCGCTTAGGTGTGATTCTCATTTAAGCATACTTCATATTTCAGTCCTCACAGCCAAATTATCTCTAGCATTATGTGAAACTAAGACATGGTCTTCTTACCTTAGGCCTTGATCATTTGATCTTCTTTGTTAAATTGAATGTGAAAAGGCAATGGCGAATTCTGGAAAAACAGATTCTGGTTTTAAGGATCCAAATCCGTATTAGTCTCTGAATCTGTTGTGGTTTCTTTTTCTTTTTTTAATCATGTGCTGACTTACTCTTTTTTTCATATTACTATTTCTTCAGGTAGTCAAAATCCTTTGATACAAAATGGCTGTTGTTGGGGTGAGTCCGAGCCATTGCGGACAATGCAAGAGAAGCGAATCCACAAGGTATAGCGAACTTTGTTCTCCGTTGCTGAGCGTAAATACCTTACTTGGACCTCTTGACAAGTTACACCATCAACTTTGCTGCAATAACAGGCGAAGCCTATTGCACCTCTGCCCAAAATGACTTACGAACTCTTAGGACGCAACCTACTCTCAGCTGTTCTGAAAGGATTGATTAGTACTTGGTGGCTCGTAGCTTTTGTTGTACATGTTATTGACAAAGTGATAGACACAATCTATGTTTGTTACGCTATTGATCCGAGACAAAGGAGACGTACAAGTAGGAAGTTCATGAGGTCTATGTTCACTTGCCTATCAGCAGAAGCACCCAAGTTATATCGCACAGTTTCTTTAGATCTCGAGCCAATCATGTGCTATTTTTTTTTTGTTTTGATGAATAAATGATTAGTCGGAATAGATTAAACCCGAGTTTATGCAATCCTAAAAGTCATTTCATCGACCAAAACTGATAGACGATTGTGTTCTAATTAGAGTTGGTATCAAAAATTTAAACGTTAAATGTTTATACACGGAACACCTCAAGACATAGTCCAAATATTCTCTTAATTATAATATACGATTTATGCATAGAAATATATATATCAACAACACTAAACGATACTATTAATTAGTTGCGCTTAAATGACCTTTTGTTCGTGGAGGCGTGTATCGGCTACTATTGTATATTATCATAATATGATATTGTGTGGTGCATGTATAATCAAAAGCAAGATATATATATATATATATATATATATATATATATATATATATATATATATATATTAACAGAAAACAGCTAGATAAATTATGTAATTTAAAGTGTCCAAAATAAAAACTTTTTTTAGTTGTATTGTATCAGAAGTACATGATGTTATGTTTTTTTTCAAATAATATTCCTTATATAATAAGTTAAAAACCAAATCCGATCAAAATATAAAAATATCTAAACATGTAACAACTCTCAAAACTAAAATCCAAAATAAATCATCCCAATGGATAACCAACAACGATGGATACACGAAACTATTTATAACCTAGTTAAGAATGCATATATTTATAAGGGCTTATTTGTGTACTAACCAAAAAAAAAAGTAAAATTAGTTTTGTAGTAAGAGGGAGGAGAGATAAAGGAAGAGAAAGTTGGAGAGAGAGTGTACTTTTGGCTATTTCACAAATTTGTGTTTTTTTTGTTGTCATAGGGCCAAATTTCCCTATTTATAAGTTCACATTACAGTGAAACCTCTATAAATTAATAATATTAGAATTACACCAAAAATTTTTTTTTTATTAATTTAGAAAAATATTAATTTATCGATATATTAATCAAACCAAAAACTCAATTTTAGAATGTAAAATTATATTATTTTATAGAGATATTTAGTGCATATTAATTTATCGAATATTAATTTATAGAGGTTTTACTGTATTTTCATTTCAATCCTACATGCAATCTCTTCTGTATGGAAATCTTTTAATAGTTATTAAATATTTTGGTTATGAAGTTTCATATAATATGATTTATAGTAATTTTTGATTTTCAGTATAATACAAATAAATTGTTAAACTCATGTTAATTCACAAAAAAAATATTGGTCGTAGAGCTAATAATTCTTGTAATATTAAAATACTTCCTCTGTTTTTTATAAGATGTTATGGATTAGTACAGGAAAATTAAGATTTTAATATTTATTTCAAAAATATTTTAAAGATATTTTAAAATTACACAATCAATTATAAAAAAAATTATAATTTTTTATTGATTGAATAGTTTCTAATAAAATTAAAGTTTATCTTAAAACTTTAAAATATACCTTAAAATCTCAAAATATTTTATATTTTAAAACAAGTTAAACCTTCTAAAATAATATATAAAAAGGAGGAATTATTATTTAAACCATTATTCTTTGTTAGAGAAATGAATAAATATTGACTGATTCAAACAAGTGATAGTAGTATTATCCTAAAAGACAATCACATACACATTTTTTTTTTTGAAAAACCTAAAAGACAATTATTCTGTCGTTTTCTTGAACAACTCAAACCTAACGGCACGTTTGAAGCCGGTGGGAAATACTAATTATCTTTGATTTTATCATTTATTATGCCTCTCCAACACAATCACAAATCTCATCTTCCTCCTCTTCCTTTTTGGCTTCTTATCCTCATTTCTATTATATTACTATTTCTCTCAGCATCTTATTGATTTTCCAGCTTGATGAGCTTGTCAAAACCCAAACGTTGAAAACGAAATATACATAAAAATACAAAAACTTTCTCGTGCCCCCTCCCTCTTCTTGTTGATTTTTACATTTTGTTATTACAGCTTTTGTCAACATATTTGTTAATCAACTTGTGTCTCTCTTTTTCTCGTCTTCTTGAATTTATAAAACCACTTTTCAAGACTCTAAATAACAACTTTTCTAGACTTTTTCTTCTCTCCAAGAAGTGTAAAAGCGTAGTTATTGTACTGATTTTAATGTTTTTTCTTTCCACCTTTACTATTATCATCTTCTCCGACATAATCTGTGTGTCCTAAAGATATCTTGATTACCCATTTGCCTCTCCGTTCTTTAAACTCTCTTCAAAGATCCATTTGTCACCTCCTCTGTTCATCGTTGGCTATGATAAGCCTAAAGTTCTCAACTTTATGTGTTTTAACTGTCCTCTGTTTTTCACGGGTCTCCTCTGTTTCCTCCTCCACTTTCTTCATCAACTGTGGCTCGCCGGAGAATGCAACAGTCAACAACCGAACCTTCGTATCCGACGACAACCTCGGCCAAGAAATCAACCTTTCCTCAGGAGGAGTCTCCGTCACAACCACGGACTCAAACTCCCTTCCTCCAGGAACAGAGTCGGCTCTGTTTCAAACTGCTCGAGTATTCTCAGAAGAATCAACTTACCGATTCACGATCAACCAACACGGATGGTTCTTAATCCGTCTCTACTTCCTACCCTTCGCTTCATCTTCTCAAGATCTAACCAAATCAAGATTCTCTGTTTCAGCTCAGAACTTCACTCTGTTCAAACACAACAAACCTTCAACGACCTCTGTTATCAAAGAATACAGTTTAAACATCTCAACAAACACTCTCTCTCTCGTCTTCCGTCCTGAAACTGGCTCCTTCGCCTTCATCAACGCCTTGGAAGTCTTCAAGCTTCCAGAGAATCTCCTACCTCGAGAGGCAGGACTCATTAGTACAACAAAGAGTCACAAGCTTAGCGCTCACGCCATGGAGACGGTCTCTCGGATCAACATGGGGAACTTAAGCGTCTCTCGTGGTCAAGACAAGCTATGGAGGCAATGGGATGCTGACGCTAGCTACATGGGAGGACCTCATGGCTTCCCTGTGGTGAACCTCAAGGCTGTTAACTTCAGCGCTGGCAACATAACAGAGGACATTGCGCCAGTTTATGTCTATGGATCCGCCACGAGGTTGAACGCTGATAATGATCCAACCAATAACGCTAATCTAACGTGGACGTTCAACGTGGACCCTGGTTTTGATTACTTTCTAAGGTTCCATTTCTGTAACATCATAGTGGATCCTTTAGGGATCGAGCGTGAGATAAGCTTTGACATATATGTGAACTCGGAGAGAGTTGAGTCCATTGATATGTCGGCAGCGGTTGCTAATGAGACCTTTGGAGCTCCTTCTTTCTTTGATGCAGTGATGAGGAAGGAGAATGAAGAGTCATTGAATCTTTCTATAGGTGGAGTTCAGAATCTTTACCCTGTTTCTTTCATTAATGGGTTTGAGATTATGAAGCTGAGCAATGATAAGAGGAGTCTTGATGCCTCTGATTCTGTTTTTCGGGCGCGTAAAAAGAGTTTGAAACTGAGTATTGGGTTGATAGCTGGAGTATCTGCAGCTCTGTTTGTTGCTTTAGTGTTTGGTGTGGTAGTAATTTCTTTGTGCATAAGGAGAAGAAGAAAAATACAGACTAGAGATGATGAGCTTAAGCAGATTGAAACAGGTGAGAGTTTGATATTTTCGAGCTCGAAAATCGGTTATCGATACCCTTTGGCTTTGATCAAAGAAGCAACTGATGACTTCAGTGAGAGCTTAGTGATTGGAGTTGGTGGGTTTGGTAAAGTCTACAAAGGTGTTTTGAGGGACAAGACTGAGATAGCTGTGAAGCGTGCTGCTCCAAAATCTCGCCAAGGTTTAGCAGAGTTCAAGACAGAGATTGAGATGTTGTCTCAGTTCAGACACAGGCATTTGGTGTCTTTGATTGGGTATTGTGATGAGAACAGTGAGATGATCATTGTGTATGAGTATATGGAAAAGGGAACTCTTAAGGATCATTTATATGACTCAGAGAACCAAAGATTGAGCTGGAGGCAGAGGCTTGAGATATGTGTTGGTGCAGCTAGAGGGCTACACTATCTCCACACAGGCTCCACAAGAGCAGTCATACACAGGGATGTGAAGTCAGCCAACATTTTATTAGATGAGAACTTCATGGCCAAAGTTGCAGATTTTGGATTGTCTAAAACTGGTCCTGATCTAGACCAGACACATGTGAGTACCGCGGTTAAAGGAAGCTTTGGTTATCTTGATCCAGAGTATTTGACAAGACAACAATTGACTGAGAAGTCAGATGTTTACTCTTTTGGTGTGGTGATGCTTGAAGTACTATGTGGGAGACCAGTCATTGATCCATCTCTTCCAAGAGAGAAAGTGAATTTGATCGAATGGGCGATGAAGTTGGTGAAGAAAGGAAAGATGGAAGAGATCATAGACCCTTTTCTTGATGGGAAAGTGAAGCTTGAAGAGGTGAAGAAGTACTGTGAGTTAACAGAGAAGTGTTTGGCTCAAAATGGAGTTGAGAGACCAACAATGGGAGACTTGTTGTGGAACCTAGAGTTCTTGCTTCAGGTCCAAGCAAAAGATGAGAAAGCAGCAGTGGTGGATGATGGTCCTGAGGCTAGTGTTGTGGGGTCAACGGTGCAGTTTAGTGTGAATGGAATGGGAGATATGGCAGGGGTATCTATGAGTAAAGTTTTTGCGCGAATGGTGGTGGGAGAAGAAACGAGAGAAAGAGATTGATCTGTGAAGAAGAGTAATCTAAGTTACTGTAGAGTGTTGTTTGAACAGGAGGGACAAGGAGAGAACACAACTACTTCTTTATGCATTGTTTGTTTGTATACGCTGCAAAATCGTAAACATATTATTGCTATTCTTTTCAAATCTTTATTTGCGTTTATACTTTCTGTGTTTTGTTGCCTGCGTAAGGTGGCATGATAGCTTTTTGGTTTATGGCTAAAGATGTAGTAAATTCACTATTAGCCACTTCCATCTTGGTCGAGTGTTTTACTCGTAGAGGACTTGCGGGTGTTTTCTCACCAAAAGACATGCTCATATATACTATGTCCCTGTGGAACACAAAAGTATAGTATATGGTGAGTTATATGTGTTGTGAACAAACACGAATTAAACTTCAAAACAAACATGAATTAAACTTCAAAAAAGAAAAAAAAATACAGAGAAAAATTGATTAAATCAAATATCTTTTTAAGGTTTGTATATTAATCATATAAATTTAATTTACAGTCTCTTAAATCTATTTTCATATTTTTCAACCCTGATTTTTCTTCTTTTTTGTTTAAATGTTATTTTCTACAATGGCAATTTTTCTAAATCCAAAATACACCATAAACTGAAATTTAAGTCACCTGAGAATAAAGGTGTATACTAAATCCTCAGTTATCCAGAGGAGCGTGAGTAAATGGCTCTGTTGGAAGGAGAGAGTCCTACTAATACAACAACGATCTGACGAATACTCTTCCATCTTCTAGTCTTACTCGAATATGACACATCAGACAGAGACAAGTATGGATTCATGACGAGATTTGCGGATAAATTTTATTTCATTGCTTAAAAATGAAATAAAAACATTTAATCTTTCTGCCAAAAAAGTTTCTTCGCGTTATTTGGAAACTAGTCGGTGCAACAAAATATATACTATTAGTAACCTTAAAAAAAATAAAAGACAGTGTTCCATGGCTCTAGTTCCATCGATATAAAGCCGGCTACGCTCTTTAAAGTTTTGTTGAAAAAAGAAAATATAATGGTCATGAATCATCACGTCCTTTGATCGTGGCGGCACTAAGAGAAATGCAGTTAGAAATTAGCAATCTAAAGTCAACACAACAAGTTCATTACTGAAAAGTCAATATATGAGATTGGAAATATAAAATCAGTCCCTACTATCATGTTTAATGCTTACACAGGTTATAATATCAGTCTATCACCGTCTACAACTAGAGAATAGTAGGTGGGAACATAGTGGCGATTTCACATATAATAAAGTATTTTTAAATCAATACTATAGTAATGTCAAAAAAAGGCTTGACTCGAACCTTTTAATTTTCTCAGATGAGGTGAATTAGGTAGTCATTTATTATAGTTTTGATTTTGATTGGACCTACTTGTAAATAGACGAATATGAAACATCAGTCTATACATGCATGGGCCCTTATGTACGTATACTATTTCAAGCTATGACTAAGATAGTAGAAAGTTTTGTCATTTTCACATTTGGTGGATTCCTTTCTTTAGAAAGAAAAAGAGCTTCATATTCACAAAATGAATTACCAAAACATTTTTGGTTCTCTCCTTTCTAACGTTTACTACATTTATCAAGTATTATTGTATTAATAATGTATTTGTCATACCTGAGACTATTGTGTGGCAAAATACCATGATTGATGTTGAGAGGCTTCAATTATCTTCTTTGCTCTCCTTTAGATCAAAAGATGTTATGAACTTCGTTTTGGCATTATTTTTTCCTTTTTTCCCATCAGACTGCACAACAAACATTAATGTCTTCATCATGTACGAGTAAGAAATCAGTGACATCTTTGATCTCAATGAGCAACTGCAATACTGCCACTTCAGGTTTTGGCATGAAGAGACTCTTGCATGAGGAACATAGCACAGGCTCAGGTATCATCCATGGTTAATTATGATAAATTTTGTAAATTGTAACAGTCACTTATAATCCAGTTTAGATAAATCAGTTTTTTTTTTGTGCTAAATTAAATCAGTTTATGTCTATTTTGTGGCTTACCTTTTAGTTTTTTTTTTTTTTGAAATGAAGGCTTACCTTTTAGTCTGTTGAACTAATTGTATGAGTGTCTAAATCCGCTCTAGTAAAAGAATAAACAACATGATGGATAATTCTTCTTTTTCTTTCTAATTTTGTGTGTGTGTTACAACCAAATTTTATGATCAAAAATACTTCTGTAAGCGTCAGATAGTCCTAAAGAAATATCACACTAATGTTGCAAAGCTTGCACGTACAATTTTTCTTATTTGTAGGAGCTTTTCTCTATAGCTGATGGACCTCAACGTCCGACGCTTTGCATGATCTCCAAGGCCCAAACCAGGGTCTGGTAGCATTTGTATAGGTACTAAAAATAACCGGCACTACCTCACAGGGAACAAATCATCTCCTCTACAATAATTAGCTGACGGGATTGCCTGTTGCGACATAAAAGATGAAAAAAATGAGATCGACAAACAGAAAAGTAAAGAAAGCTAGATAGATTTAGTGTTTACATTACGAACAACATATGTGGAACGAGAGTGAAACAGAGAACATATATGTAGTGTTAACGGGGGGTTTGGCACGGATATCCAGAATTTTAAAGTAAATGTAATCCGCTTTGCTTCGTCCAGAAACTTGGACTGAATCGAAATAAATAACAAATCAAATCGAAATAAATAACGAATCGAATCAAAATTTGCAAACAACATAACGGGCGGACCTGTAATATATGGGAGTGACATTATTGTTGTTTGTACTATTTTGATGTACTATTTAGTTTTTTATTTTACTAAAACCATTTCTATCTGCATTTGAGGAGTACTATGATATTAACTTTGGCTTGTTATGGACTAGTCAAATTCACTTATTGCATTTGTGGTAGCCATCCCATGTTTATCACGAGTTGGTTACAACTTATAAGAGGTACAAGTAACAACTTAGCGACAGTGGAACCAAAACGACAATAGAATTGGATACAAAACGTTCCTGCTAGTGTCGATAAATACACCTATTTCGACAGCCATAATATTCACCTCTTCCAGTCTCATTCATTATCAATCAGAGCTCAACGATTTACTGGTTCTTTCTCTCTCTATCTTTCTCAGTTCAGTTTTTGAGTAGCTTATGTAGATGTTTATATATTTTTGTAGCCTACGTACATATATATGATTTCCCTTTTATATGTTTTATGAAGCCAACAAATTATTTAGAAGTCATTCCAAAACAACTGTAAGAAGTTTTGTTTCTGCAAGCTTGAACTATATATTCAGTTTTAGTTTTGTAATCTTCTACATTAATGTACATATCATTAGTTTATGGAAACATTAGCAAACATGAATAAAGCTCTCTTTTCTTTTTTATATTTTTTCCTTTCTGAAAGCTAGTGTTTCTGTTCTTACTTGAGAGAGTGAGCAATTTAGTGTAAGTAGTAGGAGATCTGAACGAAACACTGATAAAGGACAGTTACAAAAAATAAACACTGATAAAGGAATATGTTTGCAGATCTCTGTGTGGGGATCATGTTTAACATCACTTGATAACTACCATTATATAGTGGCATAGAATACTAGTCTACTTTACAATCTAATAGTATTTTATCGGTGGATACATGAACCAAAAAAATAGTATTTATTTATTTTATAGGATCTATGGCGAGTGTGTACCGGAAGTTGGCAATATGCGGTGGTGAAGGAGGAAAAGAATGGGACGACGATGTATACGAAGGTGTAAGACAAGTGTATGTAGGGCAAGATCGATCACGTATCACTTACATCAAATTTGACTACGTGAAGGTAGACGGTGAAGTTGTAACACGTGAATATGGGACGCAAGGTCAACACACTGATGAGGTTCTTCACTATCATCTTTATTTTCTATTTTTTTCTTTCACATTCTTGACTTTATACGTCAATATAGTTCCATTTAGAGGTCAGTTTTGGTTTAGTGATAGAATAAAATTAAATGATATTTTTGTCATATACGTACAGTTTGTTGTAGTTCAACATCCGGACGAATACATCATAGCGGTGGAGGGAAGCTACAAGAAAGTGGGTCTCCTTGGCACAGACGTGATCACATCTCTCCTCTTTAAGACTTCAAAGGGTAGAAAGTCTCCGAGGTTTGGTTCAAACTTGCTTGGACTTGGGAATGGTACGAAGTTTGAGTTTGAGGATCAAGGAAAGAAGATCGTAGGGTTTCATGGACGTGCGGGTGATGCTCTCGACGCTCTTGGAGTTTACATTGCACTTGACTCTGTCACCACGTCATTGTTTCCTGTTTACAAGCTGGATGCTCAAGGTGGTACAGAGGGACGTGTTTGGGATGATGGCTCTTACGACGCGGTTAAAACGGTGCGCATCGGTCAAGATGCTCATCGTATCACTTACTTGGAGTTTGAGTACGACAAAGGTGGGAAGTCAGAGAAACTTCACCATGGGGAGAAAGGAGGAACACTATCCGAGGTACTTTCTAATATTAGGATATACATATGATTGGTTCAGTAAATCTAAAAGAGCTAGCGGTGATAACTTGATGAACAAACATGAATTAAGCACAAAGATAACAAGAACACTTTAAATAGAAATACTCGATTGAGACAAATACTCATTTAGAGTTTGTATATTGATTGTCTAGATTAATGCTATACAATCCATTAGTCATATTTAAACAATTTCAAAATCTGTTATTCCTTTTTCATTTAAGAATTTTTTCTTAATAAAATCAGATTTCATTATATGATGATGCAATTGATAATTTATCCAGTATTCAAAAATCAGATTTCCTTCGGCCCAACTAAATTCTATATTTAAATGTGAAAATGTAACCAACAAGTTAGTCAAAGAAAGAAATGTAAGCAACAAAAGTTTTAGTACCAAGTAGTTGGTGATTTAATTAGTGATTCTGAGAGTTTCCTAGTCGTTAGTTCAGCCAATTTGAGAGAGATGATTTTCACCTTAAACATTTATTTTCTTGAATGTTGCAGTTTGTGCTTGATTTCCCGGATGAATATATCAAATCGGTGGAAGCAACCTATGATAAGCCAAACCTTTTTCAACACACGGTCATCACGTCGCTCACCTTCCAAACATCAAAAGGGAGAGCATCATCCTTTGGGTACACAAAGGGAAAGAAGTTTGTTCTTGAGCAAAAGGATCGTCGCCTTGTTGGATTTCATGGAAAAGAAGGTGACGCTGTTGATGCTATAGGAGCATATTTTGCACCTATTACTGCTCCTACTCCTGTGATTCCAGCCAAGAAACTACCATCCGTTGGAGGCAACGGAGGAGTTGCATGGGATGATGGTGTTTACGACGGTGTAAGGAAGATATACGTTGGACAAGGTAATGATGGTGTATCCTTTGTCAAGTTTGAGTACACTAAGGGAACAGACTTGGTATCTGGAGATGAACATGGAAAAGCGACAATACTCGGAGCTGAAGAGGTAATTTATTGAAAACAATTTCTTTTTTTACTTTAGATAGTGACGAAAGAAATGAATGAAGATATATAGTGAATTTGATTATTTTAAAAGAATTTTTTAGATATAGTTCCTTGTTATTTTTTTTATGATTGCAGAATTGTAGAACAGTTGTTTTATCAAATTTAGAAAGGAACACAATAAGTAACCATTACCAGCTAGAATATATATATATATATATATATATATATATATATATATATATCTTTAAATTAAATATATTTATGTTTTTATTTTGAATATTTTCAGTTTGTTCTCGAGGATGGTGAATATCTCACGGCTCTGGTAGGATACTTCGATAAAATCTATGGAGTGGATGAACCAATAGTTATCTCTCTTCAGTTCAAGACAAACAAAAGGGAGTCAAGTCCGTTTGGAATGGATTCAGGTGAGAAGTTCACTCTTGGGGAGGATGGTTACAAGATCGTTGGGTTCCACGGACAAGCTAGTGATGTCATCCACAGTGTTGGAGTCACTATCGTGCCCATCACAACCACTGAGTGAAAAATGCTTCTACTATCTTTATCAAAACCAGCCAGTCATGTCGGTTGGTTAATAAAACTTTCAATAAGACATGTGTGTGTTGTTTTCTTATTTCCTACGTTCAATAAACCTATAAGCTTCTTTCTCCAGGCTAGTGATGAATGGAGTAAAAATTGGAGGGTGCCAATGGTTATATCAATCAGTTCTGGCATTGCTGTTATGAATTATGACTAATAATATCAAATAAAAACTTAATTTGGCCGAGAGAAATCCAATAGGTGAAAGAAACTTACTATATCTAGTAGCTATTGATGCTGAGCGGAGCAAAAGTAGATTGGCTGATTCCTGAAATTAGTAAACATTAAAGTTTGACAAGAAAAAAAAAACATAAAGCTTATATTAAAGCAACTTCAATAGAAAGTTCTCAAGGGATATTTTGGTTAGATTTTCCATAGTTTTGAAATACTCACAATTAAATACAAATATTTATATACAAATATATGTATTTTGAAAACTCCTCATTGGAGTTGTTCTGAGAAAATAAGTTTATTGTACAGTTGTTTTTTGTTATTATCAAAGCTACAAAGCATTGTACTAGTTAAAATCTCTACAAGAAACATCATTGGTTAAGTATCTCATAAAGTATTTCAACAATAAAATTAATGGTAAAGTTAAACTTTCAAATTAACATTGCAGTATTCTGAAAATGAACTAAGACCATTCCATCTTTCTTTTTCACCATGCATAAACTAAACCAAGAATTATGATAAGTACGAAAACGAAAGCTTTGTAAAGCTTCTATAGAAGTGAACACCTCTAATATGTTGAAATTCATTGTCCACTGATACAGAAAAACAGTTTCAATATCAAACACAACAACTAGAGTAGACATATAATAATGGAAGTTAAAGAAAATTGAACTACTCATATCTTGACACCTAATTTTCTAATCTTTAAGAATTATTTGAGTCTTAAACAAGAAATTCTTCTTGTTCTTTCTCTTACAATTTTTGTTATTTTCTTTTGGGAAAAACTCAATAAAAAAATCATTCACATACTAACACTAATGATGTTCTAACTGTGGAATCACATAGAATGATTAAACATTATTTTTATTTTATGCTAATTATTTCATTTCTATTTTAAAATCATCAAAACTAATGTTTTCAATTTTCTTTGTTTTTTAACACTGATTTATTATGATATCACAATTATTATGAAAATATTACATGATAACCTTTTGTAATGATCTACACCTAATTGCATCATCATCTAAGCAGTTATGTGATGTTTTAAGTTTTTGTTTATCGGAAATTGGGGCGTATAACCATAGAAAAAAACATAATTCACATACTAACCATTTACCCTAACAGACATATTGACACCGTTATATATACATATTAATACTGTAATACCCCTTCCTTTAACCGGTGTAACCTGCTAAAAAAATAAAAAAAAATATTAATGATAAGACGCACAAAAGTATATCGTGGCTTATCCAATTTCACATCTTCCCCTTCTTTTCTTGAGTCGAAAGGTCTCCAGCACCGATTTCTGGATCTCCACAGCATCGCCTCCGCCTGATTTCAAAAGCTTTGCCATCTCCTTTGTACTCCCATTCCAATCGTTTATTTTTCTCCGCTTGTGCCATCCTCCGACATCGTACGACGTTAAAGTAGCAGTGGCGTTTAGTAATAGAACTTTCTTCTCCAACTTCACCAAGTCGATTCTTTCCAAATCTTTGAAACTACAGTATGTTCTCAGATGTTTATCTTTGAATCTCTTCATATTTTTTTTATTTTCCTTTCTATTTGGGCAATTGTCGAATTAAGGTATTATAATTGGTAAATCTACAACCTCGATACAATTGCATGTTGGATCTGATTTTTGGGTCAAAGTTTGCCAATTGATTTAGGGTTTTGGTTTCCCCGATTCTTAACAGCATCTGTAAGATAATTTATATGCGTGAGATCTCTTATTTCTATTTTATTTGAGATGGAATAGAAAAATTGTATGTTTAAACTATTCTATTTGTGATGGAATCGATTAACAAGCTATTCCACCGGCTGACAAAAAAAATTCTTAAATTATTCAATTGGTTTATGACTGCAAATCGTGTCTTACCCCACTCCACCAATTACTTCACGATTCCCAGTAACTTCTACGCAAACGAACCGTCTCTGAGAACACCACCACTTAATCCCTAGAAACCACCAGTATCTCCGTAGAAACCGTCTTCTTCTCTGCGACATTCATAGCTACTGTCCATCGTCGCCCTCGGCTCAAGTGAAACGTCACGGAGAACACGACAACTTCATCCCGCCAATCCATCTTTCTCTCCCAAATTATTCGTCTCTGTCGTCTTACGCACCTTCCCCATCTCCTCCGGTACTTGAATTGTAAGCTTCCTTTGTCTCTACTCCGCGTCCTCAAAAATGTAAGTTCTCTCTTTCTTCTA